CCCACTTGACCAGCATAAAAGGAGCCCTGGTGAGCCGAGCTTTACAGTTTAATTCTTTCTTATTGCGGTGCTACCAGATAAACGTTTAATTACCCAAGTTTGAGGTGTCGGCTGAACCATCGATATAATCTATGTCCGCGCTGACAAGTAGGCGTGACCGTGGGGCAGGGTTCGCGGTGGTGTCTGGCGTGATTTGGTTGGCGAACTGCCTGGTCTAAGAAGAGTGGTGAATTTGGTTTGAAAAGTGGTGAATTTGGTTTGAAAAGTGGTGAATTCAAAGTGAAAATGGTATATATCAGAGGAGATGTTTCGACAAAAAGACTGATGCTTTCATGCGGGAGGACCACTCTGAGGCCGCTCCCTCCCATAGCCAACGTGTGGGCTCGGATCGCATGCTATCAGAGTCGCGTTACTCTTACAGAGCAGACACACCTATGTGACTGTAACCATCGGCGCTCTAAGTCTGGGCCCAGCTAGGGAAGAGAGTAAGTCTTTTTGTGCCCCCCCATAAGTTAGCGCTCGAAGACCTCTGTATTTCCGGGCACAAGATTTACCTCCCTGCTTCTCAACACCAGATTTCGATTGGAAGTACCCTGCAGTCATAAGGAGCTGTTGTTCATGCAGGACTCCTCAATTCTTCTATAATTCTGCAAGTTTCAGTGAAGCGTTTCTCTCATGACGTAATTAAACCGCTGGTACGTGAAATGGACAAGAATTCGCGTATGGATCCGTCGGTGATCGACGGCGTTTTCAAAAATGGGGTATGTCGTTCCATGGTCTCGCCTGCCTATTTTGGCGCTCAATATCAGGTCGAAGCCCTAATTTTTACAACTTAAAATAGTCCCTGTTTTCAGTTCATGGGAGTCGAGGTACCTGAAGCCTATGGTGGACCAGGAACATCGTTTTTTGAAACGGTTCTTATCGTTGAGGAACTAGCAAAGGTTTGGTATGCACAATGTTTCTACCGTACCTTATTTAATATTTCTGATGATTAAAGGCAAAGCCCACAAACATTCACCATCACAGATAGTGGTTTGGGGGTCAGCATATGGACGAGAAGGTTCTGAGCAACTCAATAGTGATGAAAAGCAGACGAAAAAATGCAATTGCCCTAGATAAGACCCCATGTCGAGTGCCAGTTTGTACGTCCAGTTAACTCTATCTCCAACACTGCGTCCCCGTCCGCACAGCTTATTTCCCGATAAGAACTCTACAACCGCACAAGTGACGATTGTCAGGCTTTTTCGTCTGGCAGCCTGTAGCGCCCCTCCCTTACAATTTTTTGTCGCGAAACCGGCTACAAGGTTGCTTTCGTCGGGCCCCATCATACCTCCCCCACCCGGCCCGTATTTTTCAACCTTCTAAGACCTGACCGCAGGACCCTATCTTCAAATGAGACGATGCGCAGCCATGCCCGCAGACGCAAAGGAACCGATTGAGCAAACAACAAGCACTAGAAAATTGCCGCTAGAATTGATCTCGACTTGATAGATTAAAAAAAATCGGTGCAGTTCCGTTTGGTGGTTGCAGTCGTTGCACCGAACGGTACACGGCGAAGCCTAAGCGGGCTAGGATGTGAGGACGAGTAAAATACTATTACAAAAGTGGCTCACTTGCACCATTTTCCAGCTCCACAAGAGTTTAGAAATTTCACCAAATAAGGCATGCTAGTTGAAATGAACTAGCATTGGGAACTCACGAAATCGTAAAGTAGTACCCATCCCAAGACGATCTGCCGAAACCTACCGAAAACTTGGTGTCACCATGATTTATTTGCAGAATTTATTACTCTTCCATTGTGTTTAGGTTGACCCTGCTGTATCTGCGTTCGTTGATCTACAGAACACACTCATTGTGCCATTGTTATTGGAATTAGGAACAGAAGAACGATAACAAAAATATCTACCCAAAACGTGTACAGAGTGGGTAAGTCATATATTAGTTATCGTCGTGTGTTTCGTAATTTATTTCGGGTTCAGTACTTTATGAGGCTAGTTTAAGACGTTACTGTCTAGCAGTAGGATCGCATCCTTGACTCATTTCAGATCGGATCCTTTTGCCTTTCCGAACCTGGATCGGGATCTGATGCCTTTGCACTGAAGACTAATGCCAAGCCGGATGGGAATGATTTTATAATCAACGGATCGAAGTTGTGGATTACTAGTTCCAGCCACGCTCACTTCTTTTTGGTTTGTTTCTTTTGCCTTCCGAATGCAATGAGGTTCACTTCGGCACCGTTCACGCTGCGCGATGACGCCAACGTCGCGAAGTCTGAACGCTGCTCTACGACATTGTTATACAAGATCTCCTATTGGTATTAGTGAATTGCTGTTTCGAGGTCAACCTTCAAAGCCGCGAAGGATCAATCCATGGTATTTGTCATCATTCTCAAGAGGAGGGGGTGGAGCAAGAATTCGTAAATGAGGATACCAGCATCCCCTGGCCGTCCACGATTTCCTTTCCGCAGTCGCTAGTTGTTAGCAGGCACGTCGGAAAACAGTGTCAACAAGACGAAAGTTGACAGATACTCGGAAATTATATGCAGTTGTTATCACTGAAGTCTGTCGGAATGTGTCATCGGAGCATCGTGGGTTCTGACGAAATTCTGCCTTGCTTTTCATCGATTTCCATCGTTTTCCGTCCGTTCAATGAATAGTGGAAGAGGGACCGGAGCCGCTCAAAACCAACGCGCCACTGACACTTCCCCTGACTTCGGTGATAATGATCTATAAACCAGACATGCATTTGAGAGCTTCGTCGAAACTGGGTGCGCGAGAATTCGAGGAGCATCCTGAAGGCGTCGACTTCGCCGCTTCGCCCTTTCTCATCTTACTGTCAACGAATGGCTTACACTGATCTAAGAATTAGGAAAGTCGAGCTTGACGACCGGCTACGGTATTCTGATTTTCGTTGGTTCACTACAGTTGGAAATCCTCGGAATTGTCGCCTAAACCGGAAGACAGTGCATCTAGATGCCTATTTCCATTGTAGGTCACTTACTCCACGTCGATTACTTTCCATGAAAAAAGCCTTATGCTCCTTTCTTTTGGGCTCGTGCCAAGCTACTCCTTGTCTTGTCAAGGCAAACGAAGCTCCAGCTCACGCATAGCTTCGAAGGATTTCTAAGAACTCATAGAAGGCATCGGCAGTGATCGATGGATACCAGGAACCCCCAGCGAAGCCGAATGACCGAGGAAAAATAGTGCCAGCAAGGGAGAAATCCATACGTAGCAAATTTGTTCTATTAGGCCATTTTGAAAATAATGAGAGTTGCAGAGAGTGCACGGCTCACATAGACGACAAATTATTACCTAGGCACCGCATTTTGAGTCTCTAGAAGTGTAATTCTAAAGTGCTAAATAAATATACAGACGGCACTTATTTACCTTTACTTTCCTAATCTTCCGAAACATGCCTCTTTTGACCGACTTCTGCCTTGGCAGGCTAGAAATTTGTACCCTTTCTGCAGTCGTGGTTGACCTCCTGCAAGGCGATTATCATCCCCTAGCACGAAACATCCTGGCGCCCGGCGCCATCAGCGGCCGCCAAATATACCTAAAATTACGCCTAGTCGCCTGAGAACTTGTTTCAGGGTTTAGGTCTTGACCTCCGAAGACAGATAATCAAAATCTGCCGGCCTGAAACCTCCTTCTGCCTGCCCGCGCTAAACAGGTCGCTGGCGCCAAATACCCAGCATCACCGGCGCGCGTGGGACGCGGGCCGCCGTCAAGAGCGTCAGGCCAAGCGAATGCCATATTCGTATTCAGAGGCGTAAAAATACCTCAGAAGACAACTGATTGAGCCAAATTCTGTACCATGGAGAAACAAAAGTCGGGTCAGGTCAATCTGGTGCGTGGGCACTAAAGGGTAAATAGTGCCGAAAAATGGCGTTTTTGTTGTGTTGTTCTTCGCGGATCCAGGATATTCCAGAAAAATCTCAATAGAGCTTTTCAGTGAATTTCGGTTACTGCTTTTTTAGGTGTTTGCTAACGCTGACCCATCGAAAGGACACAAGGGTATCACCTGCTTCCTGGTGGACAGAAATCAGAAGGGAGTGTCCGTGGACAAGGAGGAGGACAAATGGGAATCGTGCCTTAGCCACATCCCAGTCCATTCGATAGTGTGCGAGTGCCCTTAGGGTCTGCTATATCTTGGTGATCGGGAAGTTTGTTGCTTTTCTAAGATGTGTCACGCTGCAATGTTGCAGTTGTCGAAGAGGGTATAATCACCATACTTTCAATAGAAATAAAAGGAAGCCAGCACAGCGCTAGACGGTCACTCTTAAAGGCAAACTATACGCTTACCTCCGAGTTTGGACGTTGCCATTTGCGAGGGGAACAGCTTGGAAGTTTGCTTCGATACCGAAATCTTTCAGCGGACATGCAGTCAGAGATAGAGGCTCTACAAAAGTGAGGAAGCACAGACAAGTAGCGAATTTGCCACAAGATTATAAGTTCAAATTGTCAGGCTGCGTACAGTACCCCCTAAAATCGTGAAGCTAAAAATGTTGCGTCGTGAACGCACACAATGTACCGTAACCCGTTTAGTTACTCAAGTTTGAGGTGGGAGGAGAGAGCTCCGAGGTGGGATTGCCACCCGGGTAGCAACCCGCCCGTCCCCGCCTCCACGCTAAAAACTGGATGGGCTACGTAGTCCTGAGCCAGTTGTGGCATATACGACCGACACGATTAATCCCACGCGCAATTGGGGGGGGGTACTGTATGCACCTTGACAGCCTGAACTTGTAATTCAGTGAATTTGCTGTTGGTTGGGTGTATGGCTAGCTGTGCGACAGCGCGGGCGGGGGGGGGGGGCTGTACCCCACCACACTTTAGTCCATTGTCGTGCTCTGAAGAAGGCACAGTACTTGGAAATACGGCTGGTTTAGTTCGCGTCCTCAAAGTTTGAGAAGTTTTCAGCTGATTTTCTGATGAAAACTACTGTTTATCGCCTTAATGCTGGTGGGCAGTAATGGCAAGCAGAGAACCTTGTGAGTGCGAGAACCCCGGTCGTAAGCTGCTTGATGTCACACCTTGGCTCACACTCACTATCAGCATTCTTACTCGTCAATTATGGCGTCAAGTACTAATAGGGTCCGTTAAAAACATCCCTGCGGTATAACGATAGTGCTGAACAGCCGAAAGGGAAAAAATGGACCGAGCCGAAAAGACAAGCTTTTTTTTGCACATCGCCCATAAAAAATCATGCTGATTATGCCTCCGGAGATGGAATGGAATGGAGAATGAAGAACCATTTTCGCCTTAACATATATTTGGACCACAAGCGTTACTCGCTTTCAGGTTATAAATATGCCATTGAATGTTTGAACGCTGGTCGAATAGGTAT